CACGTCGAGCAGTGACTCTAGCAGCTCGAGCGACCAAACCGACAGATGCAGTTTCAAGAATAAACGGCCGCGACTTAATTCAAAAGAAAATCATAACATATGTCATTCAGCTAAAATCTCAAAAAACTACCAAAGATACACTTTTGAGAAAAGCTGAAGGAAGTTGCTCGTTCTATTGTATTTGCTTCAGCATCATCTTAAAGTTTATTGTCACATCTGTCCATTTTTGCGTTGAAGTTAGCTGAGTTGCTGCATTTGATAGTACAGTGTGTACTTTTTGTTGTGTATATTTACATCAACGCAACTCGGTGTCGTCGCTGTAACTCACGTTATTTTCATGCCGAAAGCCTCGTACGACCTGCGTCCGGACGGCGTTTTTATTGTGAGTAAGCACTTCTACTGAAATTGTACAGTGCAATGTAAAAACTATTGTGGAACTTCAGGGATTGTGTAAAAAAATTTCTTCGTAGCCGCAGGCTACCGAATGTTCGGCACGTCGGTATCGTCGTCAGCCTGTTTCGTTCATGATGTCAAGTTTCATTCCTTGTACCTACTGTCGTTACTGTAGTGTAGTTCGTATTCGTTCAGCATTAAAACTGTCAAACGGTTTGCAATTATCATTGAAAATTTATGGGTGGATGGAATTCCTAAAATTTATTGGCTATTATTACCGAAAAGTTTAATCTTCTCACGTCAATGTAGGCCAGATGGCGTATAGGTCCTTCTAGATTGGGTGAAGCGCTACATTTCCTGTCCTTTGCTCTTAGTTGCCTACTGCAGCCATCTAGGTAGGCCAGGGCTCCACAATGCGTGAACACAATTTTCGCATGAATTTGTTCCCTGGTGTTACCTCGACTTCATTACGAATGATGTTATGGAGCTGGTACTTGTTACAGCCTACAGCAAAGCATATTCGTACGCCGCTGTATTAGCTTGCGCGTAACTTTTCCAAGATCTGATTACATTGGGCAGGGTAGCTTTAGGAACTATGCGCTGTTTGACATCCTCTATCTTACGAGGAGTAGTAGCCCTTGAAATATCGTTCATAACGTATGCAAAGTGGCTTTAGCGAGCAAAATTATACGAGATGCTTCTGATACTGCAGGTGTTCAGTGCCAGGAGGTCGTGACTGCTTAATAGCCCACTGCCCTTAAACTGCTAAGAACTACACAGTGAAATCTGGTATTTAAGAAGTATGACTCCAGAGTATGAAGATATTTTGATGTTTATGCACTGATATTCATTAAGATAAATCTGATGGTAAAGTTATGTTGTTGTTTTGTTTGTGCGGAGCAGAGTTTGGAGTCCACTGAACGACCAGCTACTAACGATCGAAACAGGCGAACTTTATTACCAAACTTATTTAAGCAAGACTCGTAAAATGCTGGCGACTGAAACATCAGTATCAATCAGCCATCTGTTTGACCACCTTAGCATCGTTTGTGATTCTGGGAAATCAGAATAATGACGTTGACTTTCAAATTTGCATATTGCGTCTGCCCTCCAAAAGAGGATTACACCTGTTATGCCATGTCCTTCCGGTTTCGTTGAAATCCGTATGCTGTTAGTAATTTTCGTTTCATGGCTGCACTCGTCTAGAGTTTTATTCGGTACTCGACACGTGTCATTGCTTTTTCGTTATAATGGTATGTGCGGAAGCCAGTCTCTCAGTCATGTTTCAAGGGATTGGGCAACGATCGACATCTGGAGTTCCTCAGTGAGGCGAATTAAACAAAAGAGAGCGAATTCGTACTCGAGACGTCCCATTGACAATTGTCCTGGGGGTCTTTAAATTCCTCGGCATGCGGCGTTCTGCTGAGGTTGTCTCGAGCCAGTTACCATTTC